TAGTTTGACAATTCCTAATTTTTATCAACACCTCACACATGTAATTTCATTATTGCATGTGGAAGCTGATGTATATTGCATTATACATCACTGATAGAATAGAATAGAAATGTCGGCACTGAAGAAATAGGCCTATGGCTGATGTTTAATGCAATAACTAAAAAACGGAAATCATTCCATTCGGAACAGCTTTGTTTACGTTGTTTGAAATATTTCGTTGGTAATCCTTTTAAAAATTCAAGTTAAAGACTTGCCTAAGTCTAATCCAGTAACGAAAATTACATTATTTGAAGACTTCATTAGGTTTCTAAAGCATTAGGCAATGCCATTAAGTAATTATTATAATTTTACCATTTTTTAGCTAAGATGGGCCGGAAATTATTTTGGTTGCTCTGTATATTGCACTATTCAAGACCATTCAGACATTTGAATGGATTTTGTGGCAACTTCTAAATTGAGCCAATGGTTATAATTTAGAATTTTAGTAATGGAATTGTATACATTTACTTGAAAATTGAAGATTATCTTGAAACTAATATTAATGGATTGAATAGACCAATCACAGTTCTTATCTATAATTCGACGGAGTTTTGCATCACTTTACACTATAATCTCAGGGATTCACATCTCCAGCTCGCTGGTTACGCAATCGTTGCGTGTGGTGCCAGCTCGACGGCAGAGATCTGCTGTGTGTGTACATTGCTCAAGCTATACAGATTAACCTGTAAATGTGGCATTTCTCAAAATTTTTGCCGATTTATTTGGACTAATTGAATGTAATTGTGTCTTAGGAACAGAGATTCTTTATGGTAAACTTAGCTTTCCTTATCACAGTTTTACACATGATAAAGTGTAAGGCAATAATGAAATAAGGTGAAATCCATCCGTTCATCGGAAAATCCGTATGATACGACTGATTTTTCCTTTTGGGCGCAAATCATATTTTGACCAGGACCAATGTAATAACTTAGAATATCAAGAATAGGAATAGAGAAATTATTACCATTATTATCATTATACACAAATTATAATTATTACCTATTCCGCCTTGAAAAAACACGATGTTGCAGGAATTAAAACATATTTCCAGGTGAAAATACAGTAATACAAAAATTACTACCATGAATTCTCACCTATTTCAACATTTATACGAGATAATACCTCGACTAGCCTCACGGTTCGTCCATAAAATTTCTCAAGGTAATACTTTTAAATTACAGGTCTCGAGATTTTGTCCAGTATGAGTAACAAATTTAAAAAAAAAAACTATTCTTTTCCCATACATGCAAGTGCGCACTAGTCTTTGGTAACCCATTTCTTCGACGCTGCGTAAAGAGAAGCCTAAGTGTTACTCCACCCCAGCTACAATCAGGCTTTCGCTTCTAATAAAACAATAATTCAACTCGTGCAAATTATGAATGAGAAACCAAAAGAAAATGAAACTTAATACCAAGTCAACAACACGGAAAGGAGGCAATAACATATGATAAAATGTTTGCCATCAAAACGAAACTATACCAAAATTAAACAAAATAGCATCTAAATTTAACAACAATTCCGAAGTAGACCTATCACATGCTTTTTATTAATAATCTTCTTATTAGTTTTCTTTCAATGAGTCAAACAAAATTTCTAACTGACGCCGATTTGCCTCCAAAAAGAGATATCAGACGTATGATACGTATTTCCCGATGAACGGATGGATTTCATCATAATTCATTATTACCTTACACTTTATTATATATAAGACTGTGATAAGGAAAGCTAAGTTTACCATAAAGAATCTCTGTTCCTAAGACACAATTATATTCAATTAGTCCAATTAAAACGGCAAAAAATTTGAGAAATGCCGCATTTACAGGTTAATCTGTATAGCCTGAGCAATATACACAGCAGATCTCTGCCGTCGAGCTGGCACCCGTTGACACGCAACGATTGCGTAACCAGCGAGCTGGAGATGTGAATCCCTGAGATTATAGTGTAAAGTGATGCAAAACTCCGTCGAATTATAGATAAGAACTGTGATTGGTGTGTTCAATTCATTAATATTAGTTTCAAGATAAACTTCAATTTTCAAGTAAACGTATATAATTCCATTACTGAAATTCTAAATTGGCTCAATTTAGAAGTTGCAGGAAATCCATTCAAATGTCTGAATGGTCTTAAATAGAGCAATTTACAGAGCAACCAAAATAATTTCCGGCCCAACTTAGCTAAAATATCAAAATGATAATTTAGAGTGATAATAAAGTATAAGGGGGCACCTATATATATATATATATAGGCCGGCAATAAGGCCAAGACCAATTAATTATTGGCGCGATAAAGACTACTTAAATGTTGGGCCTGACCAAAAAAGAGCCACTGCATGCAATCCATTTAAGTAGAGGGCCCTGAGCATGGATTAAATTCTTAAAATTCGTCATTTTCCCGGAAATTCGCGAGCGAACTAAACTTAATCTCCTTGTTATCCGTTATGTTTAAGGGAGAAAAATTCTTAAAAATTATGTATTTGTTCATATATATAGTGCAAACAAAGAAAAAGCTGCTTCTCATCGTCTTGCGAACATTTATTGCTGCCATACGTGTTTTGGAAAGAATAAAATTACAGAGAACAATATTTTNAACATTTATTGCTGCCATACGTGTTTTGGAAAGAATAAAATTACAGAGAACAATATTTTATCTCTGTCGCGTAATTTTTGAGATTCTGCTATGCAATTAGCGATATAATACAATCATTGATGTTATTATTAATAGTAACCTTTATGCGAGATAGGAAGGTTTGGAAGTGTGAACATATACAAAGGTTAAAATTAGTGACAAAAGTCTGATTCTACTGATTGATTGATTCAATACTGAAATTCTTTTAAATGGTATTGACGTTTGTGACATACATTTGCTGAGTCGACCTTGTTCATGAATTCACTTATGTTGGCTCAAATCACAACTTCCGCAGTATAATGTAAATAAATAAGAAACAAATACCATTTAATACAAATATAGACCACTTCAATACTGATATCATTTTAAAATTTTCACACGAAGGTAACGGAAAAAGAACCAAGCTTCAATCAAGTTCCAGTTCGGCAAATTCTTTATTTCCGCATAGGGCCCATGAGCAAGTTTTTACAACACAACGATAAAGCGACGCATGGACTCAACGCTGTGCAGCTGCAAGCTCTTCCAGGTTTGAGGAGCGCTACCCAGCGAAAATTTACAGACGCGGCAGCTTCTGATTTGGATCACCAGAAGCTGGGGCGACTCTAAATTTTGTCAGGGTATGAGATGTCGAGTTTGGAGGAAAATTCTCCCGCAAATCAGGGAAGCCCCAGTCATCGAAGCAACTCGGAGAGCCTGCGATATTTTTAGGTTATATTCCCATACACATTCCAGCAATAATTTTTGTCGAAGGACCAGCTAAATACTGGAATTTACGCGATACATTAGTTCATTTCTGCAGGTCTTACCTATAAATGATTTTATATGGTCAAATTATAAAAATTACTTAATGTGTTGCCTAATGCTTTAGAAACCTAAAGAAGTCTTCGACTAATGTAATTTTCGTTACTGGATTAGACTTACGCAAGTCTTTAACTAGAATTTTTATAATGCACAACTCTGGCACAACGCGGCCTGGCTTACGGTTCTCTAAACCGAAATCTCAATTTCTGATGGCAACATTATATGGTATTTTTTCATGTTAGTAAAATTTTTAATTGTAAGAAAAAAAGGAGTGACATTTGTAGGTACTTTATGAATGATAATAATACATTTTCTGATTGAATTTTAGGTAATCATTTGATAGTGATATTAGCAAATAATATGGATCATTTTAGGAAATGAGCTTAACAGTAGTTACAGACATTAGTGATTACCGAACTTTCTCATTTGAACGCAAGAACCATTCAACACGTAGCATTGCTCTCGAAGTTATATTTAGAGGCATCTTTCAACAATAAATATTTTATACTGGCATAACATGATATTTTAGTGTCTAAGAAATAACCCGCAACCTACATATGAAGTGTCGGTGAAATATTACACTCTGACTTATCAGAATCTTCCCGTCCTGGGCCTATACTTTCAAAAAAAGTCAAGAGATCGTAAGTTCATCAGCCAATCATTGACGGCCTTTCAAGCAAAATCCGCCAATCATAGCCAAGAAAATAGAACGTAAGTACTTACGTTCACTTAGCGAATTTTGAAAGTATGGCCCCTGCAGTCGAGCTTTGGTAGTGATATTTTCATCTTTATCTTCATTCATAAACTTTCTGCTATTCCGGAAGCTCATCGATAAGTAATTTTTATGCAATGAAATTGATGCATGGACCTGAAATTAATTTCAAATTTCTTGATCATGAACTTATGTATAGTCCCACTTATAAGAGGTTCACAATGAAAAAATCATTGTTTGAACCGTATGACTTGAGAAAAAATGGAACTCAGAAGTAATGCCAGTCAAAATTTGAGTAGAAGATTTAAAAAAAAATCGTGTGCGAAATTTCATTGAAATCTGTACATTAGCGTGAGAAATACTCGTGATTCCTGCACTGCGAATTCACGGATTTATCGCCGAATAACTTTATTGTGAGTATATGAGTTGAATCGAAACTAAAAATGTTCTTCGATCTTAATTTGACAGGAATTATGACATGAGTTTATTTACTGAATTTCATATTCATGTTTCAGCAGTCTTCATGAGCTCTCTCGGTCCCTGAAACAAGCCTAAGAAAAAGCCCCACGAATCTTCCTATGTTGCTTCATTAGTTTTACGTTTTAAATAATCATGTTCAAGTAGTCGTGACTTGTAAAATGAAATTAATGATCAGCCTAGGGTCTTAGCGTACTCCCCCAGCCATAGGTCATAGAGTGGCACCTCCTAGCATCTGTCCAGCTCCCATTTCCCGTACATTTAATTCAAGGGCAACCTCAGGACGCCGGGCTTTTGTCGCTTAGAAGCTGTGCAGAGTTCCTTAGCAGTTACTTGGATGCCCCAGTGGCGGACGGAGCTCGAATATTGACTCTCTTTAACAAGCCTTTTTATCCTCCAAGTTGCAGTTATACATTTTTCAGGAGAAGAGAGTAAGGAGTAAGAAAATATATTAGTCGTACATTTACTCTATACAATTCGATAAATTGAATATTCGCTTATTTCAATTTTGAAGATGAACTCTTGGAAATGCTAATAAAAACAGTCATAGCAACTAAATTAGAAACTCTATTTATCAAAATCATGAGTTCAATAATTAAAAATTTCCCGAAACACTAGTTGATTTTTGCCACAGCGCACTTCGTTCTAATCGTACAGCGGAATTAGGAGTGATTAATTAAGGAATGAATTTTTCTGTGATGTAGGAGTTGCCCTTTCGGCTTACGGGGTCCTCTTTTGACCCAAATTTGTTTGCATTTTGCGACAGTTAGTCATTGTGTTATTGATTACCTTAGATGCTGAGTACCGTACATCAATTTTTTCTATTGTATTATTTTGTCCCTCACATTTTTATATTTAAACAACTTCATCTAGAGAGGGTGATTTAACCATCTCCCGATAAAGCTAGGCAAATTTCAATAAATAAATTTTCTATTCACTCTGCTATCAATGTTATCGATCAAGATGGTCTTCATTAATAACTAAAACCATCTGAAATTTCTGAACAAAACTTTGATGAACGAGCACTTGGTAAATAAATTCGAAGGCAAGCAAACTATGAGTGAAACCACGGCTGAAACAATCTTTGATTTATTGAAAATCACAAGATGACAGATATTGCCAAAAGTTTCAATAAATGGCTCTATGCTGCCTGAATGAAATGATGTAGCGGCCCTTCTTCAACGTGGGTGAAGGGGCAATGGAGCCGCAACTCGCTCACGCGTCTGTTCAACCCGTAAATTCTGAAGAATTAAAAAACGGTGGTCAAGTAAGGCACAAAGTTAGATCGGACGTGGAAAGCAAAAGCTCGATTCGGTAAAAGATCATCAGAGACAAAATTCGCGAATCGTAGTTCAAAAAAAACGCCGAGCAAGTGCAAATTCTTTCCACACGTTTTATATTGGGTGTAGAATATACAGCATTTACATGAAGATCATACAGCGAGATTCTCAGAAAAAACCATGTAAATTCATAACTGATATAAAAATATTAAAGTAATTTAAACGGGATTTATTATTTACTCGGGTCGTAAGTGAAAGGAATAGAAATTAGTACCTCATCACCTCCTGCTCCGTGCCCAGAGAGATAGGGTGACATACCTGAAATACTAAACAATCCTTGCATGGATTGCCGGTGCTGAGTTGGTGCCGGGGCTAGTCCACACGCCCGCAAATGAAGGTTGCTGGGGTCAAGGTAGTGGTAGCCGCAGCGAGGAACCATAGGCCGTGGAGGCTGGTCGTAGAGCAGACGACACAGGTGCTCAAGTCCATAGTTCCGACCGAGCTCAGGCAGAGCTTCCAATAAAAGCTTTACTCCATGTGTTCAACAGAAGAGCAGGGGCAGAACATCCCCACTGGGTATCTTGGTGCTCGATGGTGGCACAAAACAAGGTAGGGATGAGATACAGCAGCACCCTGCGAGTTAATGTTGCGGAGTTGTGCAACGAACTGCCTGAAATTCTTGATAGGGGGCGTGAAGTGAAGTTGCTTAGTCGAAATGTTAACGTTAGAAGTACCCCAGGCGTCACCCAAACCACACACGGCACAGAGCAAGTAATGGGACCATGACCCGGAAATCTGAAACTATTTAAAATCATTCAAAACTAAATCTTAGTTTTGTTTAATTCATTGGCGGACAGCAGCATCAGATAACAAAATAGAATATGAGATTTCTTTATCCATGGATTAAGTGCTAGGTTTTCATTCATTTTCTCACATTAAATTATTCCAGAATTGCAGCAGTTATGCATGAAATGATTGAATGTTTGGGAACGTTTTTATCTGTGTGATCTGTGTCGCGACTGCACACTCTACCTCAAAAGAAAAATTTCTAATTGGCTGAAAAATTCTGACCCTATTGCTAGACCTAAAAATTACCTATTCATAAATGAAGAGCGCTCCCGTTGAGTGCACAACCGCGTTCGTTTAACTCCATGGCGTTTCGGGGAGATAAAATAATGTTCATTGATGATAATAGATGTAATTTTTATTAATTTATTCCTCTATTTATTTATTCCTCTATTCTTTTAGTAATTCATTCAGTAATGTCCATTCCTCAGTAATTCAACCACAAAATTTTTTTATCACGGTATAGGAATCTGACATCTCTTTTTTGTAATAGAGCGTCAGTTATTCTCGGAAACAACATATATGAGACGCTCTCTGTAACATTTCTTATCGAAATTGGTGAAATGGCCATGAGATTAAGAAAGGAATCTTCATTCAAGTGCAATGCGCAATTAATAAATATTTGCGCCTAACTGGCCCAATCTCGCCATGGAGCATTCATTGCAAAAACTACACTTTTTCAGTTTCATTTTGTGGTCCGTGGGTATAGCCATACATTTTTCCAAATGCTTTACAAAATTCTTTGTAACTTAGGTGCTGTAGTTTTCAGGAAATGTTTGCACGAGATTGAAATGAAGAAGGTGCTCAAGTCCATAGTTCCGACCGAGCTCAGGCAGAGCTTCCAATAAAAGCTTTACTCCATGTGTTCAACAGAAGAGCAGGGGCAGAACATCCCCACTGGGTATCTTGGTGCTCGATGGTGGCACAAAACAAGGTAGGGATGAGATACAGCAGCACCCTGCGAGTTAATGTTGCGGAGTTGTGCAACGAACTGCCTGAAATTCTTGATAGGGGGCGTAAAGTGAAGTTGCTTAGTCGAAATGTTAACGTTAGAAGTACCCCAGGCGTCACCCAAACCACACACGGCACAGAGCAAGTAATGGGACCATGACCCGGAAATCTGAAACTATTTAAAATCATTCAAAACTAAATCTTAGTTTTGTTTAATTTCATTGGCGGACAGCAGCATCAGATAACAAAATATAATATGAGATTTCTTTATCCATGGATTAAGTGCTAGGTTTTCATTCATTTTCTCACATTAAATTATTCCAGAATTGCAGCAGTTATGCATGAAATGATTGAATGTTTGGGAACGTTTTTATCTGTGTGATCTGTGTCGCGACTGCACACTCTACCTCAAAAGAAAAATTTCTAATTGGCTGAAAAATTCTGACCCTATTGCTAGACCTAAAAATTACCTATTCATAAATGAAGAGCGCTCCCGTTGAGTGCACAACCGCGTTCGTTTAACTCCATGGCGTTTCGGGGAGATAAAATAATGTTCATTGATGATAATAGATGTAATTTTTATTAATTTATTCCTCTATTTATTTATTCCTCTATTCTTTTAGTAATTCATTCAGTAATGTCCATTCCTCAGTAATTCAACCACAATAATTTTTTATCACGGTATAGGAATCTGACATCTCTTTTTTGTAATAGAGCGTCAGTTATTCTCGGAAACAACATATATGAGACGCTCTCTGTAACATTTCTTATCGAAATTGGTGAAATGGCCATGAGATCAAGAAAGGAATCTTCATTCCAGTACAATGCGCAATTAATAAATATTTGCGCCTAACTGGCCCAATCTCGCCATGGAGCATTCATTGCAAAAACTACACTTTTTCAGTTTCATTTTGTGGTCCGTGGGTATAGCCATAAAATTTTCCAAATGGTTTACCTAATTCTTAGTTACTCAGGTGCTGTAGTTTTCAGGAAATGTTTGCACGAGATTGAAATGAAGATTTCGACAAACGAAACGCGTCAACATGTACCTGAAATTTTACGTAATGAGGTTTTTTTCTAAAGACGCGTGCTGGTACCATAATTGCAAATAATTGGCAAGGGAAAGCTTGGGCTACAATATCAAGAATTTTTTGGCATATTTTTTTCGAATAATTTTACTTTATTTGGGTCTCTTGGAAAATTTAAAAACCCAAAAAACGCCTTCTTAAAAACTTATTAACTCTTACAGTATTCAAGCTACAGCAATAAAAGACATACAATTCTATTTTTAATGACCTTACCTAGCAACTTTAAGAGCCATTGATTGAATTTGTGCGTGGTTTAACTTATACATGGGGAGGAGAGTGGCGGTGGGGGGGAGGGGGGAGAAATTGTGAAAAAATAAAAAAAAAACGCACATAAAAGAAAAACTATGAAGAAAATCTAAAATCGGGGCTCTAGATCCCCGCTAGATAATGTTGTTACAAATCAAATGATATGTGTCTCGACAGTGTAGCATGTAATTTGCAAAAGTTATTAACTTTTTTCTGGTAATTTCACGTTTTCTTTAATTTTTCAAAATAATTTACACGAACAAAAACTCATCAATTTCTGTTTTACATATGTGTACCAAGTTTCAAAACGCTCCGTCCGGAAAAAAAAAATAGTTTTTTTACGGTGACAGTCCCCATAAAAACCTTCGACTCGGTGAAAATTGTTTTTTCTCCGAAGAATCTAAATCCTTAACATAATATAACATTAGTGATGTCGGCGCTGAAGAGTAGGCCTGGTGTGGCCTGTCACCGATTCTTTTACTTTTCGTGACTTGTTCATAGAAGATCTAAAATCGTGTGAATAAATTTACTTTGTTTTTCCTCAGCAATATAATTATTTGTGCAATGGATCCCGGTATTGGGAAAGGACCAGTCTCAAATCATTCCATGCATCCAGAAGCCATTGGACGTGGTGGTTTGACCCATTCAGCCCTGGAAGCTCTGCTGGTGGATCCAGGAACATTGTTAGGGCACTCACTCCCGGGCTTTATGTGCACGTTCTTTGGCTTGTTTTGGACCTACAGTATCCTTCACAAGTATCACGTTGCAAGGAGAGGAGCCATTCTGCTTGGCAAAGGAAGTTATAAATCAAGTTTCAAAAACACTCTCTTCTCGACGTATTACGCTTGTCACTGCACCAACGTTCCCATGGACGCATACATCTTGCTCATTTGCACAAGTACCGCTTTTATTGGTGAGTAAGGTTGCATTCGAATGAAGTGTTTTTTATTTTTGTATCGGGTCCTGCTTTTCTAGCTCATGTTATTGATAGTCTAATTTAATTGTCTTTAACTTGAATATGCAGTTCAAAATGCGTACACCAGTGATGATAAAATGTCCAAAGCTGTAATGAAAAAGCTCGGAAAAAATACATTATCCTGATCAATAAATGGTCGAGGCTAATGTTTTTCAAATGTTCAAAGACATGAGAGATTTTCATTATTCAATGTGTATTTTAAATCAGGCCAGTTCTTGATCCGGAATCCTTTCTATGATATCTTTTCTGAAGCTGAATATCAATGTATCACTGCGTAAATAATCAACTATGAATTATGAATTTCATTGCACAGAATTTCGACAGTAAAATACCATAAAAATTGAGTCATGAATAGCCGTTTGCTTGCAGCTGAATTCTTCGGGGGCTTCAGAGGGGGCGAATTCGTTTTGATGTCCAACACGCATCACATGAGCATTTATTTCTTCTACGGGCTCACTGCCTTCGTCCACATCCTCATGTGCCGCAAGTAAATCGTGTCGTCCTAATCTCGAGTATTGAAAATGTAAATTTAGAGTCGAAATTTTTAAGCATGGAAGAAAATTACTTCTATACTTTAAATTATTACGTAAAGTTGAATGATGCATACCATTTGTTTACCGAAATTGTAGATTAATAAAAACTTTAAAAAAGGAAGTGATAAGTAAATTCACATAAACGCACGTAAGTATGACGTTTTATAGCTCCTTTTCTAGACTGGCTGAGCATAAAGGGAGGAGTTACTAAACCTGATACTTGAATCCACTTCATCTAGTCAACTTGAAAATTACAAATATTTCTTTGTCAGCTTGAAGTGACGATGAACCTGGCAACTATTTCGATTAATATACGATAACTTTTTTCGTTTTTGTCTTCTGCTTATCTTTAAAACAAACTCAATTATAGAAAATTTGTCCATCATGCATCGTTGGAAAAAAATACTACTCCTGAAATGAAAACCACATGCTTTTGCTTCTAAAATTCACGTTAATAATGAGTTGATTTTGCTCAATCATAAATTAATTCTAATTTGGAACTTATCATTACCTATCAGGCATCCCATCCCTGTTAACTCCGACTACGCGTTGTTCATCGTCGCATGCATCGTGGAGGCGCTTCTGTTCCAGGGCCACATCGTCGGTCGGGGAGCGATCAATGCCAAGGTCAATTAGTTAAACGTAATTAATGGTTAATTTCATCGTCATAGATACTCTTTGCTCTCTGCACTTTACCCTCATCCCTTGACAGAACTCCCCTTAAATTTTTCTCATGTAATTTTTTGGCTCGAATGCTAAACAGTTCTTTATGCTTTGAACAAATTGTAGGAGCTGCAATAGCTTGATATTACCACAAATCTCGCCTTTTTATAATAAAGACGTTTGTGTGACATTTCTCATAGATACACATGCTGCTGGTGTACACTGTTATGGTGACGGTCGGTTTTCTGGTGCTGGAGATGGCTGCGCGGCGCAATGTTTTAGTCAGCCTTGGAAGAGCTTCAAGCTTTTTAGTGCAGGTAAAACCGATAATAACTTGAAAAAAACATAAGATAAACATTCAACATCCACACACCTGTCTCTTATACACATCTAGATGTGTATAAGAGACAGCAATATACCCTTCGTAAAAACTCAGCGGCCACACGGTTTTCTTTGGAATATTTTTCAATGCAAATTCACTCAACCTAACGCCCTAATCGATACATGATTTTGTTCGAAATATTTTTCCTTGAATTGCTCTTCGGTTAACGGTAAAGGGTTATGTGACCCGCTGTATCTACTGAGATAATCCAATTGCCTATCTACTACCTTAAGCTCACGAAATTCTCGCCGCAATGTTGGCAAACATGAACAAGCATTCAGAAAAAGAATGGCTCATACTGTCCAAATCATGAGACGCTTTGCGCACGTAACAATCATACGCACTTTGCTATATCAAACTACGTCAAGATGAAACATAACAGGGCAAAAGTGCATTGCTGTTTGGACAAAGATCTACTCGTTCCTGTGAGTATGGAATCAAGAATATTCGTTATGACATAACTCTGTTCAAAAGTTGAACAAGCCGACATCACATCGACGCTGGACAATAATCACCTCGTACAGAGCATTTTCTTCACCAGCTACCATGCTGCTAGATTCCATCAACATTTTGACCTTGCAATGTGACGTTGTAAACATTGTACATCCACTGTAAAAAAATATATACGATGTTCGAACACCAACGTAAAAAATATAACTCAGTACTCACTGCAGTGAGTGACAGAGAGCGCATTTTCTCGTCGACGAAAACGTAAAGTCACGGACAGATGGACGGACGGACGGACGGACCGACGAGCATTACGAGCATAATAGCACTTTTTCTCATAAACAAGAAAATGCGCTAAAAAGGGTCCTACCTTTATTTTAGGGGGCAGGAGGATCTCATAAATTAGATATTATACTGCCTGTTTTTCACGCGACTCGCTTGGAATGCAAAAAAAAAAAAAAAAAATTAAAAATGGGCGTAGAATGGAAAAGAGAGATCAAACCGCTATTCTAGCACCGTGTCAGTCTAAAGAGCCATATCGACTGATCTTCAGAATCTGGACAATAATAGATTTAAATATGTCGATTTCGATATGTGAACTATTATTCGGAGGGAAATTACACCTTTAATTTTCATATAAAATATAAAAAAGAGATAAAGGTGATTTCTTTAATCGAAAAAGAGTCTTCTTATTTACGTAATACTCCCCAGTTTCGCAATGCTTGATGATTCCTCTGCCGCAAAACAAAAAATTATTTGATATTAATATTCCAAGAAAATAGGATATTGTAAAAACCCGCCTAAATATCAGCTGTATGATACTTCTGGTGCCAGGCTTCGAACACATCCACTAACAAACTTCCGTAAACCTTTTATTTATACAGACACTTTAAAATTCAAAACATATAACTCTAGATTCTGATAATTCATTGGTTATGGTATTCAAATGCACGCTTAGAAGAAATGAAATTTCATAGTTCATAATTAGATAATAGTTAATAAATAATAGTAGTTTACAAATAATAATGGGTAATAAATAATATTAGTTAATAAGTAAAAATAGCCAAATGAAAATTCTTCGATATTATTGCAAAGATAAGACAGTATAGGCGATATGTTAACCTAGCTCTAGTTAAACCTTTATTTACTTTCGTTCTTTTATCGGAATCTTTTACCTTACCGGCAAGAGAATAATTTTTGTCTAAAATATTGACTGTACATTTTCTTATAGGTTTAAAACTTCAAAATATTTTGCGCATTGCCAAAGGTAACAACTCGTTGATTTACAATGGTCGGAAAAATAGAATTATTGTTTGGTGTACAAGTTTGTTGGAGAATGGGTTGCTCGTACAGTACTTGCAGAATTCTCACACTTTCTGGGACGTAAGTTCAGCACTAATCATCAATAAAATTTGTGTCCGCTTGAATAATTAAATAATAAAAAATATCTATCAGAAGTTTATCAATAGTTTCAAGTTCATTTTTTCACTAAATTATGAGGAAACTTGACCAGAGTCATGTCACAAAGCAAATTTATTAGCTCAAAGAGCTCTGAAGAATCATGGACTCCTACCCAGGCTCTTTCCTCTTTAGCGCCACTTCACGTCTGCATACAGAAAATTTACATTGAATTCGATAAATTCAAATATTAAACAGAAAATTATGAATTAGAATTCCGAATATTTTGAATAATGAATTGATCAGACTATTAAGCATTTTATTTACTGGAACGTGCTCAGATGATCGGAATCAAGTTCCATACTGAATTGAGAAAAAAACACTCCCGGGGTAGTACCGCGATCTCACCTTCGCAGGCTATCAGTGCGACGATCTTTGGTCTCTCCAAAAATCTCGGTTCCCCCAAAGCCGACCGCCAAGAATGTGCAAGTAAGCGAAGTCGCGTACTGCTCGTCAGGCTGCAGCTCGTCTCCGTTGGCGTACAGTTCTCAGCATATCTCAGTACATAAGCAAGCGACTAGAGTGCAATGGGCCCAGGATCAAAACTGCTGTGCTGCAAAAACTAGCTGAACAAGAACTAACACCAGGGGCCACGGCTACAAACTAAAAAAACTGCGTTGTAGCACATCCATACGACAACATTTCTTCTCGCTTTGAGTCACCGACATGTGGAACAGCCTTCCTGATATAGCATCGTTGACGCTCCGAGTACGAACGCCTTCACGAACAGACTAGACGAAGCTATGCAGGAGCATCTGTTCAGTCTTAAAATAACGAAATTTTTACATTTCGTTATAATTTGAAAGACGAAATTCTCACACTGCACAGCTATTTTGTACAAATTTCGTCATGTTATAGTTAAAGCTGAAAAATTATGTCACAGAAAACGCTCTTAGAAAAGTATTTTCGATGTAGTACTGTATCATTCATGTATAAGATGGATTGTGCCAGAGAACATAAGCACGGACTTGTTCTAGGACCTAGGTTCTTGTGTCAGTACTACGGCAGTCACGGTCGCAATAATTAATGCTTGATAAACCTTCTTGAACAGGAAAATGAATGAATTTCGCTACTTTTATCAGGTGAGATGCTTAGATAAAGTTCATTTCAGAACTAACACCGGAGATGAGTTAAATCCTATTGGATTCACAATAAACTGTCGGCCGAACTAAGTGTCGTTTACGCATCAGCATACACGAATTTCAGTCGACATCACCCTCTTTAACATGCAAATTCTGTCCAAACTATTGTCTATTATTCGTGAGCGTTTTGTCTGTTTTTCAATACGTTGAAATATCATAGTTTATCTTCAACAATTACAAGGCTGCATGTAGACGCTCTTAAATTTGGGATAGTGATATATTAAAAATGAAATTACGATCAAAGTGTTTAATTCCCACTAAAAAGTCAAAACCTTATTGAGAATATTTTCAGAATACTCTGTCAATCAGAATATCTGTTATGGGATAGCAATATGGTAAGCATGACGCATTATCAGCAGTTTCCCAAACAAAGGATTTATTCACGATAGGTGAACAGTACGTTATCAGAATGACAATTCACTTGCATATTTTTTATCGTGCAAAATTTTGGAATCTAGCAGAATTAAAATTTCCGGACATTAATCATCTCAATAATTATTAGGTTATTCTTGTGGGCAAAAAAATATTTCATAGACGCTTCGCTGCATTAGTTCTCGATTTTTCCGTGAAGTTGAGACGATCGTTCTGAATTTTGTGGTGATCTGTGAAATACGGAACGATTCTAATTAAAGGTAACGGTAAATTTTTTTTTAATTTCAAACGTACATTTAATGGCGGCATATACATTCTGCAGATTTTACCTGTGAAATATGCATACTAATTTACTAAAAAATATTAGCAATCAGATCAGCTAGAGAATCAGTGTGGTGTGAGCTTTCTCTAAAAAAGCAGGGATAGCCTTCTTATAGGTGTCCTGTATAGATCACCCAACAGTTCCTCTGAAAACGATAAAGTACTGAACAGTCTTCTACCGAGCACGACTTTCAGCAGGTCGCATACGTTAATCGTTGGTGACTTTAACCATCCAGAAATAGATTGGGCAGATGAATCCTCTCCAAGGGATGAGAATCACCCTTCATCCTTGTTCATGGAGTCTGTGAGAGACTCATTTCTATTCCAGCACATCACAAAGCCAACCCATTTTAGAGGTAATCAGACTCCAAATTTTCCAGACCTAGTGTTTACTAGTGAAGAATCGATGGTAGAAGAGCTTCGTCACGAGGCTCCGTTGGGCAAAAGTCACCACCAGTCATTGTTTTTCAGTATTAAGTGCTATACAGAAAAGACGCCTCAGAAGCGTGAACGTTTCAACTTTGCGATAGGCGAGTATTTTAAACTTCGTGAATCAGAGAGTGCAGCGAACATTTCGGACTGTATCATGAACATGAATGTGGCGAAGTCGAGGTCATTCATCAAGAACATAGTTAAGTCTGCATTTGATGTGTGTGTACCTAAGATAAAGCTCGGTGGAAACAGAAAAACACAATAATACGGTTAGATCATAGCTAAAGGCAAAGAAAGAAGACTACAAGCCTTATTTACAGACTCGTAGCGATGCTGAGTAAAACCTGTACGCAAGAGCTCGAAGTCAAGCTAAAAAAGCTTGTCGCACCGCAGTCAAAAATTTGAAAAATATGTTGCCAAAAACTCAAAAAAAGAACACGAAAGTCTTCTTTTTGTATGATAGTTTGAAGTGTAAGACAAGGAACGGTATTGCTGATTCGAATGTAAATCAACGAAAGATATCTTCTGCATGATGAGGGCAAGGCCAATGTCCTATATCAGTTTTTTAGCAGCGTCTTCACAGATAAGGACTTCACAGTATTCCAGCTATTGAGTAGCGACCAGTGGGCTCGCAGTTAACTAGTTTTGATATACATGAAGAGGGGGTTCTCAAGCACCTGGTCTCCCTAGCTGAATCCCAACAAGTCATCTGGATCAGACGGTTTGCACCCTAGATTACACTACGAATTAGCAACCGTCCTGGCCGGCCATGTTGTTGTTAACAATC